GTCCAGGGTCATAGAGGTCGCAATGAAACCAGCCAAACGTTGCTTTTTCATCACCGCGCTCGTAAGAAAGCGATTGAAGTAGGTTAAGCATAAAAGCGTCACTGCCGAAATTAGATTGTCCTCCAGAATAGATGACCCAAAAGCGCCCGCCCTTCCCTCCCCTCGTTTCACTGAATGCATCTCTCGCAATGAATCAACTTTCATTTTGTGCGATAATGCACTTTCAGTGGTCATGAACCACAACTAATCGTTGGATTTAGACTGCCTGCGTCAAGGAAAACAATTTTTTTTTTTTTTTTTTGCTCACAAGTGGTGTGATTTGAATACACAACGCGGCAGTGGAGATAGAAAAGCGCAATCAAATATCGTCAAATCGTTCTCTTCCAAATGTGGATAAAAATCCCAACACCTGTTAAATAAGTGCCAACGCAAGCGTAGTGTCTGCTATTATATCATTTTTTCCAGCGTAACGAAATTGAAATACACCAATTAGTGACACCCTCATCTGCCTGAACACAAAAATTTTAAATGGGAAAAAAATGCATTAGCCGAGCTATACCACCTAATAAGGATTTTCCATCCTCTTTCACATAAATGCAATGTTTAAACAGTTTTTACTGATGCCTGAATTCAAAACTAGTCATGCACCAGTTTTGTTGCGTGCGAGAAGGCGATCCTACATTTTGTTTCAGCCATAATGGCCCGCCGACGAAAACCATAACCACAATGTGGCCCCTGACAAAAATGAATTTGACACCTCTGCTTTCGACAAAGATTCCAATTTGTTCCCAAAATTTTGAATACTTCAAGAGTTGCCAACAGCTTCAGAAATGACAACTTGGCATTTACTTTGTTTCAAGTGTCAGCCACCCCCAGAGTGCCAGAGACACTTTGTGACTCAGCACTTAGTCATGTGCCGCGCCACTTTGTTCTTCATATTGAACAAGCGTTAATGTGTTGGACTCAAAGTATAGGAGCAGCGGCACTTTCAAGCAAAGATTCAACTCATTTTTTATTGGGTCAATACCACTTTCGTACATTTACAAACAAGATGTTCCGTTCTTCATGACAACTAATCATTTTCAAGCACAAATTAAAATAGCAATGTATTATCGGGTACATTTAACCAACAACAACCGAAAAAGACCCAATTTCCACCAAAGAAATAAAGCTGGCTTCAACTTAGCCCTTGAGGGACGCCACCTCACTATGGACGGGCGGCGGTCTCTTGATGTTGAACAGTTCGCGCAGGTTGACCTCTGGGTCAACGTAGTGCGGGGCCTTGCGTTCGTTGAAAAGGCCCGCCAGGTTCAACTCCACTTTGGCTCGACGGGAAATGCGCATGCGCAGTGCAAACAGACGGTTGAGGTTTTCCTCCACCAGGGGCAGATGATTGCCATCCAAGCGTTTCTGCCACGACTTCCTGGGACGTGGGCGATTCTGTCCAATAGCATATATTTTTTGTTGTTCAGGGAAACGTTTTGGGAACATTTTTTTAAATACATTTAATGATTGTTTTGATCATTTACCTTTTGTTTGATGACATCGGGATCATGTCGAAGCAGATGTCTGATCATGCTCTCCTGTGGAATATACGTGTGTCTAAGTTTAGTGTTGAGAAATTTGGTAAATGAATTTAAATTAAACTAATCATGTTTTTGCCTCTAACAGTTATGGCTCAATTTCCATACCCGCATGGCGAAGGTGCGCGGGCAGTCTGGGAAGGAGCACTTGTACTTGAAGAGTTCCAGGTGCAGCTTGCGGATGTGGTGCTGCAGGTTGAAGGTGGTGGAGAAGTAGGCCTCGCAGTTTTCACGGGGGCACGCCAGCACCGGCTTGTGCGTGGCGTGGACCCGCTTGTGACGTCGCAGTGTGTTGGCCTTCTTGAACGCCTTTTTGCAGACTTGGCAGGTAAATGTCGCTGAAAGAAAAAAAAAAAAAAACAGATTTTTCTGAAGGTTTTTTTTTTTTTTTAAACTTTATACCTACATGGGTGTTTGATCATGTGGTTCTGAAGCATAGTCCAACTCGAGGCAACAACCTGACAGTTCGCCTCCAGACAGCGGTAACCTACAAAGAGAAATCACATCACACTTTTATTTATTTTTTTTTTAAATGTATGAGACTGCACTAAAGGATTGACCACCTGCATGCTTTTTCTCATGGGCATTTCGGGCCACGCGGGAGTCAAACATGGCGCCGCATTCTTTCTTTGAACACCTGTGGTAGACGACAAAAAGTAAGTGGACTTCATTGATGTTCAGGCTTTTAATACTGCTTGATACACGTTAGGTGGTGTCACTCCTGCAGTGCATCAAATGGATAAAAATCAAATTGCAGACCTTTGACACCTTTAACCAAAATGGCTGTAGTCTAGAGTAAAATGTCACTTCACTACTTTGAAATGTGTGGGACGTCGTGCACGTTTTGGCACTCCTTTTACACTGCTTGTAAAAGCTGGCCGCCTCTTTCAGCTTACTCCTGTGTCAGTAAAGCTTTGCGATGAGCTAAAATGTCTAATTTACAGATTGTCTCAATTGGCATTTTTCCTCATATTTTAGCTCAAAACGTACTTGAACTTGGCAGCCAGGCCGTGTTCCTGCAGGTGCACCTTGAAGCGACATCTCTTCTTGAAAGTCTGGTAGCAGCCAGCCTGAGGACACTGGAGGCAAAGAAACTTGACTTTCAGGATAAGGCTGTACAGTACATTTCTTCGAAAGACTTCTACATGTTGGTACTTTGGCTCCATCTGGCGGAGATTACCTTGAAGTACTTGTCTTTCTCACCGTGCGCATAGCACATGTGCCTCTTCAGATTGTCTGCCTGGAAGAAACTCTTGTTGCAGGTCTCAAACTCGCACCTATTTGGTGAAGAGGCAAAAGCTACGCAAGTATATGTATTTATTAAAGTCTCATTTATTTGTATAGCTATAATTTTAATCACAATAGAATCTCAGCTTCACAAACCCACAACTGAGAAATTACATCGCCTGACCTAAGCAGAGCTCATCTTTACAAAATATACCATCCTTATACAGTATTGACCTTTTGTAGCAATTTTCTTTTACAACTTAAAGCCTGCCCACCACTTTTTCATAAAATAATAATAATAATAATAATAATCGGTTTAATTTAAAATACTGTAATTTCAAAGCACTACAAAACGTACACAATTAAAATTAGATTTGACTCCGGAAATGATCGTATGCCTTGAGATTCGGTAATTGAGTCCTATTACTACATATCCCAGAATGCACCTGTCATTAAGACTTTTCTCCCCACCCACAACAGTAGTCCTGTATAGTATTAGCATTTATAGCTCATTTGAAAACTTTTAAGATGTAGCTTGTTTAGCTAACTTTGCGCAAATAGGCTGGATAGCGAAAATTAATCCATTATGCCACATCTTAATCAACTTATTAATTGAAAGTTATGTAACGTTGCTTACTTGAATTGCTTCTCACCATCATGTTGCCTCATGTGGCGACTGAGATGTGATTTCCGAGTGAATCTACCACCGCAGCCGCTCACTGTGCACTGCCACGGACGCTAAGTGAGTATATTCATTTATCACAAAAAAGTCATCTTATTACATCATTTTTTAAAAAAGTATTTCCTGGTTGTCAGACCATGTGCACACTTGTGCAGCTCCATTATTTCAACTGTATATTTTAACATGCTTTCTCAAAAATACTTGTTTTCCAATCGAGTTACACAGCTTTAGGACGTTACAGCTCCGGTGTGAATTGCTTCGTGCTGCTGTAGCCTGCTCTGCTTGGAGAAAATGGCGCCACACGCTCCGTGGGGACACTTGAACTGCTGGTTCACCTGTGGACAACCAGCTCCAGGTTCAACCTCACACATTTCGCTCATTTTTTTTTTTGAAATGACGTAGACGGACAGTTATGGAGACAGGGGTGGGGACTTTTAAATTGAGGCATCATGAAGAGATTGTATTCTATTCCGTCTGTTTACTGGAGCAGTGTAGATGATTTTTTTTTCGTCATCTGAGAATTAAGGAATATAACCAGCTATCAGTTTTCCTGCCTTTTTATAGCTTCTTAATTGACTAAGTGGCAACAGCAGGCGACTGTCTCTTGCTGGGACGTCATTTTGTTCATTAAGGTAAGGCTGAAGCAAGTGACGCTAATCACATTCAACTGAAGTCTTCAAGTACGTATCTACTTGTAAATGTTTTTTTTAATTTGACGCTTTTAACCAAAAATGTAAATGAATTACGTTTGAGTTTTGACATTTAAGTTTTAGTTATATTTTTAATCACATTTTATCTTTAAATTATAAATATAAAAAGGCATGCTATATAACATTTTCAATACATTGACAAATATCAAAATCGACTTTGTATAATGGTGGTGACTTGAGAGTTGGGCTGCCAAGAATAGCCACATATTTTTGTCCTGTTTTATTCAGGACCCTTAAATCCGTTAGTTGTTTTTTTTTTTTTTTTAACGCAGTATTTTCTGTGGCTCAACCTTGTACTGCTGTAACAGTTGAACTTTCCGAGTGGGGCAGCGACGTCTTTTTTTGGAGATTGATTGCGAGCTGTGATGTCACTCTTTGCACAGCAGAGTGTGCTGTGGCTTTGAGATAATAAAAATCGTCTTTCTATTATTCGGATCCCGCGGCTTCCCCACGTTCCCTGGCACGCCGCAGCGCCCTCTTCCGCATACCGCATGCACGTTTAAGTACGCACGCGCACGCTGCGCAGCGATACTTCCGCGGTGCTGCGCGTTCTCCTCTCGCAAGGCACTTCCCCGCTGCTCGTCACCATCCATCCTCATCCGTATTGATCCCCGCCACCGTTTAGAGAGAGAGGGAAAAAACGATGCTCCTATGTGATCTTCATATGTAAATGTCCGTGGACGAGAAAGAGGAGGGGAGATGATAGCACCAGGCGCAACATAGCACTTACCTGGCTTGGTCTTTTTCCATCCTTGTTTTATTTTTTTATTTCACGTTTTTTTTTTTTTTTTTTTGATCCCCGCCACCGTTTAGAGAGAGAGGGAAAAAACGATGCTCCTATGTGATCTTCATATGTAAATGTCCGTGGACGAGAAAGAGGAGGGGAGATGATAGCACCAGGCGCAACATAGCACTTACCTGGCTTGGTCTTTTTCCATCCTTGTTTTATTTTTTTATTTCACGTTTTTTTTTTTTTTTTTTTGTGTTCCTTCTGTGTGCTTTCGGTGACGTTTCGGGGGGCCTGCATGCGGTGACCGGCGGGAATGTGTGACGACCATGCTGGTGGTAAGGTGCTTCTTGCTCTTTGCTGCAGTGGGCGAGCGGCTGGCGGTGGCAGGTAAGAGGAGATATGATGATTGGCAG